CGTCTCCTTACGTCTTCTGGCTCCGCCCACACAGCCGTGTCATCCATTCACAGCTCCCATTTCACAAGATCTGTGAGTAAGAAAACCACAAGTCCCATCTGCTGCCGTGACGTTGCCATGCTTGTAGTCCATTGATAACTGAAGGCCGTTCCTCAACATGGACCCCTAAGCTGGGGGAGGCCCGTACCTTAGCATGGGGCCGGGGAGGACCCGTACCTCGGCTTGGACCCCGGGGCTGTTACCCTAAGGAGAACTATGGGGAAAAGCCTAACCCCATAGTTCTCCTTTAAATCACCATGAGCATCGGCGTTTGTACAGAAATTTTGTGTAATTTCCTCCGGCTTGTTTAGATTTCACAAGAGCGGCTTCTGCGGTTTCTGTTCCGGCGATTAGCTGTGTGAAATCATTACTGAAAATTACAATTTCTCTTTGACTATTTTAGATGTTTGTTCCTGGCCACTCCTACGTTGTATCATGACGTAGCACTGGAGCCCGAAATATATATCAATGAAACGTCTCCCACAATGCAAATGGAGCTTCTGCTTAGCTGTCACTCAGCTTGATGGGGAGGAGTGTGCGCAGGGGGTGAGGGTGTCAGGTACTGGGCCTGATCTGTTCTCACAAAGAAAGAAGATATATGAATGCTGTATTTTTGGCTTTTTAATTTGTTTTTAGTTCAGGGGGAGGCAACCTCGGCACTCCAGCTGTTGTGGAACTACAAGTCCCATGAGGCATTGCAAAACTCCAACAGCCACAGGCATGACTCCCAAAGACATGATAGGATTTGTAGATTCAGCACAGCTGCAGTGCCGAGGTTGCCCACCCCCCGGCTTAGTTCTTTAGCAAAGTAGATGGGGAAAAGAATCACTTAAAGGAGAACTATGGGTTCAGTGTTTTCCCCATAGTTCTCCTCAGGGTCACAGGAGGACATATACTGGCGTCCTCCCGTCACCCAAAGCTCAGTATATAGGGAGCTACAGCTCGCACTATACTGAGACGCCGGAGCGGATCCCGACATTACTGTCGAGATCCACCCAGCTGCGTGATTGACAGCTGGCTCTGCCTATCTAGAGGCAGAGCCAGCTGTGCCCGCCCCCTCCCCGGTCCGTTCCGCCAATCAGCGCTGGAGGATCGGACAGGGGAGGAGGGGAATCCCTTGCGCTTGGTATACAGGCGCTGAGCCGAATCTTGCATTTGCTGACCTGTTGATTTTGTCATTCTGCTGAATATCGGCCATTTTATGTATTTGTTTGTGGAAAAGAATAAAAGTTTATTTGCTGATACCTATCCGCCCTGAATATTACAATGTGTATATAAATATAACAAATAATGGCACCACAAGCACATTGCATGTTTTTGACGTGTGCTTAAACGTGCGCCAATGCACATGCATGATGCACTTTTGGCATGCATTCACGCAGCTACAAAGTGTGAGCGCGGACTAATACGCAACAATGGAGATGAGCACTAAATGATGGTTACTTTTTAATACATTAGAAATGTAACGATAATCCTCGATCGGAGTACATTGGATTCTTCCCGGGTATTCTCGCATTTTCCCCGCTCCGTGGTTGGTGTCTGTGCAGGCCTGTGAACTCCGGTCGTGTGACCGCTCAGTCAGACTTTGTTGCAGAGGTTTAATGGCTCCTCTGTCTTATCCAGTAAAGTGGATGTTTTGTGTTGCCTGGAACTGCTGAGTTTGTCCTTATCAGCTGCTTATGATGATCCGTTCGCTAATAGCGGGATCGGATTTACCTCCCGAACAAAGAGCCAAAGATGGGAGACTTCTGAAGCCGTGGATTGATGAGCCTCCCCAGAAGCCCGGAGAGATTACACGCAGAGAGGTTTCACTGTGCGCGCCGCGCTTTCATTCTCCTCTCCCGTCGAATCGCCTTACATTTCCCGAAGAGCGCTTTCCCCTTTGAAGATTTGCACAATAAGACGGACCGTCGCCCCCGGCCCCCCTGCGCGTATCTCTCCTATGAAGATTTGTGCTGACGACGCCGCGTTCTCAGACCCGCCCTACGGAACGCCAGCTCCAAAAACCGTTCACTCCTCTGTCAGATTTTGTAATAACCTTTTTTGAAGCCGAATTCCGGGCAGATATAAAAGACACAAATGAAGGCCGCTCGGTATTCATTAGTACAACGGGGAAAGTATTTTTATATGGAGTTCCTGAATCCGACCCGGTGTAAACCTTTCCAAATTCCCTGTACAGCAGGGCGCGGACTGGGAGAGGAAGCAGCAGCAAGCACAAGGAGCCGATGTGCGAACATCTAGGAGAGCGGGAGGAAATGACGCACAGCCTGAATTTACCACTGCTGTACAAACTCAGGTGGCCATGTTGATTTAACCCCTTCCTACCTGTAATCTCTATATTAAAGGAGAACTAACTTGATGCCCCCCATAAAAGCCTTTTGAGAGCCACCAGCCCACACTTTGCAGGACCGTTGGCTGTCAAACCGGTTGTCGCTGACACCCATATCTCTCAGGTGACAGGAGCCAATCAGAGTGCTTTCTTGATGTGATCACTATGTCATGATATAGTGATCACATGCGGGCTGGAGGCTTCTGTGTTGGTCTGTTTAATGCTGTAATTGTCAGCTACATTTGGAGTATTGAAAAATAAATTATGAAAAAGTAGAACTGCGGCAAATAAAAATCAGGTCTCCCCAGGCCTGACGGGTGAGCTGTGCGGCAGAGGTGTGTTAAGTGTCAGGGATGGGTGGGTAGAAATACAAATCCTGTGGCAGGTGAAGCAGCCCTCGTATGTGTGTATTTTAGCTTCTTATTTAGCTGTTTGCCTGGATTTCTGTGAAGGTTCTCGTTCCTCCAGGTCACGGTGTATCTGTAAAAAAATAAGTCAAGGCGACTGGACTCGCTGTATTTATCTTGCAGATGTTTCACTGGTCATCCACTGAGAAAGCTGGTCGGATGACCAGTGAAACGTCTTCAAGAAACATACAGCAATTCCAGTTGCCTTGACTTATTTTTTTTGCAGATGTTCGCCTGGGGTTCAGCTTTAATGTCGTTCGTCATTTTTTTGTCTCGGGTTGGAATGGTTCTTTGTTGCCTCTTATCCGTCATTTTAGATTCAGACTTTCGCTCCTGATCTGTCATTCCTATAATGAAAGTTTCAGACTGATTGATGGCCGTGTGACAACACGGAACGTTTCTGAAGGGAATTTCCTATAACTGCGGAAAGTCACCAGAAGGGGCAATTCTGAGCAGCGCTCCCCGGGAGCCCCCAAGCAAAGCAACAATATGTATTTAAATGTTGACCTGTGCTCCAAATGGTAGCTGTCGTATAGCCTGCTCCAGCGGCCCACAATGCAATGCTCTGCTTTTGTCTGCTGAGACGTGTGCATTACGTTATGTAACCCTTTCATGACCCGAGGGGTTTGCAGAATCAATGTGTGTCGGTTAACTTGACTATAGACCTTGGACTAATTTGCCCATCTAAATATTTTTGTGTTAGGAGCACACGGAGCTCCCGTGATTGGTACTCGGCCGCTCGGTGTATATAATAATCCGGCCACTTTGTGTGTGTGTATGTATGTGTGTGTGTATGTGTGTGTGTATGTGTGTGTGTATGTGTGTGTGTATGTGTGTGTGTGTATATATATATAATGCACTGATACAATTTTTACAAGTACTGATACATTTTTGTTTAGTGTCATGTGACAGTTTTTCTGAAACAATACAGACTAATGATATCAGGACAATGGTGGAGCGCCAGAGCCCGGTCCCAGCTGCAACCACTGCAACACCGGGAGTTCTCGTGAAAATGCCAAGTATCGGCACTGGTATCTGAACATCCCTAGTTGTTAACTTTTTATGTAGATTGAGGTTCCCTCAGCACGGGGCATCCAATAGGGGAACAGTATTCTGCAGACCAGGAAATGTGCGTGAGTGAGGTTTGTTGTAGTTTCACCTTGTTTTGTAGTTGATAAATAAAGCTTGTTGTTGGTAACTGACTGGAGGGGGTTTCATTACATTTGTGCTACTTTTCCAGGTTGAAGATTTGTATCTTATCGCCATTTGTCACAAGAGAGGAATTAAGTCTTTGCGGGATCTTACCGCGGACCACCTGCCATTGCTCAGGAATATCATGCAGGAAGGGAAGGTAAGGAAAAGAACATGTCTCTTATTGATCAAATGAACTCACCCGGTAGTTATTCGCATTCAACTGGACTCGTTCTGTAACATCGAAGACATTTCACAGCTTATCCTAACCACTTCAGTTCAGGTCTCCTGTCTGCAGCTCTCTGCAAACAAGGACAGAGCGTTGTCACCCTATAACAGGAAGTGCCTGGAACAAGAACCTTCATGGCGGGATCACCAGGGATTATTTTAATGAAAGTTTTAGATTCCTCTGAAGGGATGTTTATGACTACACTTAACTTCTGCTTTATCAGCTTCTTCTCTCTGGCTATAGCAGCCAGATGACTGACAGGTGAATGCGGAAGTGATGTAATACACATCACTTCTGCATTCACAGCCCGGACCTGACGCCCTCGGAGCCGGTCCCGGGATCCAAGATCCAAGCCGCGAACGAGCACATATAGGCGATCGGCGGGCTATGGACCCGCTGATCACCTATATGTGAAACACCCGGTAACGGTGTGTGTGCAACGGTCGGGTCCTTTCTGCCCGTGCGTGCCCGCTAGGGGGCGCGCGCGAGCAGAAAAAAAATTGCCGTCGGGAGACGGCAACCCGCAAATGCAGCAGGGCCGTCCGTCCGTTTTTTTACTACGGGCGGACGGCAAGAGGTTAACAAGGTGATGTTAACATTCCTTAGAGAGTTTGGTCCATACTGACATGATAGCATCACACAGTTGCCACAGATTTGTTGGCTGCACATCCATGATGCGAAGCTCCATCAGCCGGAACCGTTGATACAAGGCAGGAAGGATCCATGCTTTCATGTTGTTTACATCAAACTCTGATCCGACCAGCCGAATTTCGCAACAGAAATCGAGACTCATCAGACCAGGCAATGTTTTTCCAATCTTCTATTTTACAATTTTGGTGAGCCCTTGCAAGCCGTAGCCTCGGTTTCCTGTTCTTAGCTGACAGGAGTGGCCCTCGGTGTGGTCTTCTGTGGCTGTAGCCCATCTGCTTCAAGGTTCAATGTGTTGCATCTTCAGAGATGGTATTCTGCAGACATCGGATGTAACGAGGGGTTATTTGAGTTACTGTCGCCTTTCTATCATCTCGAACCAGTCTGGCCATTTTCCTCTGACATCAACAAGATATTCTTGCCCAGAGGGCTGCCGCTCACTGGATATTTTCTCCCTTTTTTTTTTTTTTCTATACCATTTTCTGTAAACCCGAGAGATGTGAAAATCCCAGAAGATCAGCAGTTGGTGAAATACTCAAACCAGCCCGTTTGGCACCAACAACCATGCCACGTTCAAAGTCACTTAAATCACCTTTCTTCCCCATTCTGATGCTCTGTTTGAACTTCAGCAGACCACCTTGACCATGTCTACATGCCTAAATGCATTGAGTTACTGCCTTGCGATTGGCTGATTTAGATATTTGTGTTAAAGGAGAACTATGGAGTTAAGGCTTTTCCCCATAGTTCTCCTAAGGGTAACTGGAGGACACAAACTAGCGTCCTCCCGTCACCCTAGGCTCAGTATATAGGGAGCTACAGCTCGCGGTATACTAAGACGCTGTAGCGGATCCCAACATGGACGTCGGGATCCGCCCAGCTGCGTGAGTGACAGCTGGCTCTGCCTATCTAGAGCTGTACCCTCCCCCGTCCGTTCCGCCAGTCAGCGCTGGCGGATCAGAGCGGGGAGGGGGGAATCCAGTCACTCCCCTGTCACGGCAGAGAGCTGTGACAGGATCGAGAGGTGAGCGAGCGCCGGTATGTGTTCGCTCACTTCCCGATCTACTGAGCCGACCTGTGACAGTCTCATTGTCACAGGTCGGCTAGAACTATGAGGTGAGTGAAAATCACTCGCCTCATAGTTCTCCTTTAACGAGCAGTTGAAGAGGTGTACCTAATGAAGCAGCCAGTGAGTGTATATCCATACATAGAAAGTGATTTTCTAACATTCTTGCATATCCTTCTACACATTGATACAATCACTGTTATACAATGACGCTGGCTTCAGGGGCTTGCTTGTTATGGATTCCAGAGCTGTGTTTCCTATCTTCCCTACTTTCAATTGTAATTTGTGTTATTACACAAAAAAAAATTGCTGCAAATTTAAAAGATTGAAAAAAACTTCTGATATGACCGTAAAGTTAAAGATTTTATGAGATCGTTGTGGTTGGGTTTACATAAAGAGCAGATGTGTATTGTATGTGTTTGATCCTTCTTGATTTGCCCTCTTGCTTGTATCTGGAGGGTGGACCTGGATTTCAGTGATGCCTCTTTGTTTTAGGAAGCCATTCTGAAGCGTTACAGCCTCCAGGGAAACCAGCTAAGGATATATCTGCACTACCAGCCGTCGTACTACCACCTGCACGTACATTTCACCGCGTTGGGCCACGACGCTCCCGGGACCACTGTTGAACGCGCCCACTTACTTCATGACGTCATCCAGAATCTAGAGATGGACTCTCGGTACTATGAGACCCGAACGCTGACCTACGCACTGCGGGAGGATGAAGCACTGCTGAAGAGTTTTAAAGATGCAGGAAAATTCTAAGTGAATGTTTTTTTGTTGTTTTTTTTTAAACCAATAAGTTGTTTTTTAGGTTTTGTTTCTTTTTTACATAACACTTTGTGGTTATATCTCTCATTTTATAGGAATCGGGGAAAGATGTGTAACATTTTTTTTTTATGCTGGATAATTTAATAAAAAAACACTTGTACAATTATTTGTGAAATAATGAATTGCACTTCTGAATGAACATAAACATTTTAGGATGTTATCAGAACGGGTATTGAAATAGAAGACAACACTTTGGTGCAGAAATGCAGCATTTGCCCAGGTGACGTTTCTTTTGGGTAAGTTAAATTGTATGGCCAAAACTTTTGTTTCTAGTGTTGGATATAGTAGTGAAGGGTTACAACTCTTGGCTGTTTTTTGAGTCCGAGACTTTCCATCACTTCCTGTTCCAGAGATACAACAGAAAGTGAGGGTCAAATTTCTGCCGAGGGAAGGGAAATTCCCTCTTAGCGAGTTATCCCCGGCACATGGTGGCTCCATTGGAAGATTTGCCGTCACCTCCTTTTCTGGCGACAACTGTCAAATTTTGGGATTCTTTCTTTCACTCGGCAGGAGCAAAGAAAATGATAGGTGGCAGGTCAGTACCTATCTGCTTCTGCGATCAATTATTCAGCTTGTAGATAGCAGTGTGGTCGGAAAACGATGCGGGGGGGGTCATGGGAGAGGGATGTGCTGTTGACTGTTTGCTCTGAATCCACTCCAGCAATCGAAAGGGACCAAGTGCAAAATGCACTTTGTCCCCTGGGGGACAGGATAAAGAAACTTTTTGGATTTGGACTTTTTTTTTTTTAATAAGAGGAGCAATGAAGCACAACTTGTGTAAGGCCTCATTTGCACGTGAAGCGGCCGGCACGTACAGCTCTGTGCTGCGTGCACGGCCGTATCGGGCAGCTCACGGCAAGGACAGGTGCTGCGTGTGATTAGTACGCAGCCCCCGTCCTTCTCTATGGGACTACGCGGCCGTACACCGCCCTACGCGTCCGTGCAGGTGTCATACGCTGCTCTATTATACAAGATTATTTAAAATCGAATTGAAAAGGCTGTTCACTCCCATTAAGATGCAAACTTTTGTATAAAATGTCTAATAGACTAAGCCAGCTGATTGCACTCCTATGCCTACAAGTCTGTCCTCTGTTACTGCCGTCTCTGCTTTTTGGACAGAGGTACTCGTATATTTAATCATAACTGTGTGAACTTGAGTTGATATTTACATTATTTATGCTCGGCAGGCTTGTGGGATGTCCCCTAAGGGGCTTTTGCACAGGTCATGGTTTAATAATTCCCTTGTACGTCCGTAATTACCGTCTCCAGGACTTTCACCTATTCATGATTAATGACGGGCACGCAGGTACAGTACGTATACTGAGTCATTGTTATAGTTTTAATTAGATTCATTTCAAATTTATAGATGCGCTGTCACTTCCATGTGCGAATGCATTGCCCGGGAGGCTGTTATGAATGCCATACGTGGCAATTAATAGCTGCACCCGCAATATTGTTTATTACGCCAAGAATGTGCGAAGAACAAAGCCGATAGAATTAAAAGAAAGACGTCAGGGGACTTGCATCTGGGTTTTTTTTCCAGCCATAAAAAAAAAATGACTGAAAAATCTAAATGAATGGCAATGCAACACACTGCGGTACGTGCATTGAGATAACCGGTATTACCGCAATGCATAGGTCTGCAGGGGTTCTATAGAATACCTGTACAGAGGAAGGTTGTCATTTGGGATGTATGTGGGCTCGGAGCGAGCTGAGTTTGCCCCAAGCCCCTGCAAAACAGTTGTGACACACTGCCCCCCCCCCGCCTCAGTCAGCTGCAGCCGGGGCATTCCCCGATACTTTGAAACGTGGGAATGCTCCAGCCTCAGCTGATTGGGCCGGGAGGGTGGCGTGTCACTGGCTGTTTTGCACTGGCTTGGGCAAACTAGGTACGCCCCCACATGCCAAATGGCAACCTACCTAGGTACAGATTTGCTTTAGGACCCCTTCAAACCAATGCATTGAACTCATTACCGCTGTGTCTGCACATCCCTAGTTGCCCTTCCTGACTTTCAGCCGTTTACACACAACAGAATAAAGTCAGAGCTTGTGATAATGTATACTTTTCCTAAGTCAGGGGTAGCCAAACTCTGGCCCTCCAGCTGTGGTGGAACTACAAATCCCATGAGGTATTGGAAGATTCTCACAGCCACAGACGTGACTCCCGGAGAGATGCATCATGGGATTTGTAGTTTCACCACTGTTGGCGGGCCGGAGCTTGGCTACCCCTGCCCTAAGATGATATTAACACCTACAATTCGACAGCCAGGTAACAAGCATTCTCAGCAGCCTCCACGTCTCTCAGGTTCCCTCTTCTCATCAATGTTTTAAAATGAAGTTGTCCTGAAACGGCCCATTCATCATCTCTCTGTGCATTGTTTATGACGGCACCTTGTGAGCATACCGGCCCTCTTGCAGATTATGAGCGGGGGCCGGGCCCACACAAAACATGCAATCCATGAAAAATGCAGCATGAGCCATGGACGAGCACATTCAAATTTAACATCACCTTGTTAAACAGAAGAACCAATTGTGTTCATTCCAGTGACCAGTACCCGGGCTCTGGTCTTACTGGTCCCTTTGAAGATGGAGATAATATTTCTTTTAGGGATACAGCAAACAGAAATTAAGAATTCACAAAGTCACAACAACCGCACCTGGTTGGAAAATCAAGTTCTCAATCATAATGCAAAGATTTGCAGCATGCCAACACCTGCTCTCTGGCTTCATTGGTTTCTGAGTCCGTGACCTGGAACTGGTATGCAACCAGTAAAGTCGGACCAAAGGCAGAACTTCTGATCTGTGTACCAGGTCAGTGATTCAAAGTACAAATGCTGAGCTGCTGGTAAAGATCATTTCACACCAAGTATTTCTATTCTTTGCTGAGAAATAGGATTGTGTGCAGGGTCCATCAGTGTCCTGTTGTGGGGATTGCTGACCCCCAAAACCCGGTTGGCTCTGCATATCTTCTTCACCATTCACGAAGCCAATAAAGGTTGGTTTGGACCCTAAATTATCTGGCTCTTTTTAGGTCTTCATTCACATGCATTTCTCGTTCTGGATGTCCCTTCCCTCTGGAGGGCCCCCCGTTTTCTGAAGAGCTGCCAGTGTTCTGTCAAAGTGGCCAACTCATCGAGATCTCCAACGAGATGGCGCTAGTGCGGCTTCTAAATTGCCATCGGGTTCTCCAACTCCCGACGGTGCTTGTGGCATGGGGTGCCGACACAGGCGCACTGCTGCAGATTGTAGAGCTTGATAGTTCTCTTGAGTGGCTGCGCAGGCGCACTGACTGGGGTTGGAGGTCTTGACGAGTTGGAGAAAGAGAGAGTGAGAGCGACTGATGGTGATGGGCACAGCACAGTGCCTCTGCCCATCCATATAGCACCCAGCAATTTATCAGCACTGTATCCACACAGGAAACAATAAATGAATAGCGGCACGCAGTGCTCACGGAGAATCAAACTCCGGATTCCCAATTTTAAACTTTATTTTGGATCCTGAACTTGTTGGAAAATACTGTTATTTGTGATGGATTCTCTCCAGTATCAGGTCTATCAGTAAATACAGCACACAGATATAAAATATCAGAGCAATGGAATCGCTGGATGATGACAAGTATCCGCATGTCTCAGATCTCTATCAGGGCAGGAGGACCACAGAGAAGTATGCAAAGACCTGCAACCTGTGAGATTTATTATTCGCAGTGGCGGCGACGCTTCAGTGACGCTTCTCAAAGCTCAATCAGATTATTTTTGTCCCGGGGGGTGTGGGGGGGTACAAATGATTTCCTGCACGGAGATTACATAAGTGTAATGGTGACTATAGAGGAAATAGCTTCTATGTGTATGATTTATGTTGTAGCAGCGTACAGTATTTATAGGTGATATGCAAAGGTCAGTGAAGAACGGCATGAGCATTCACTTTGACTTGCTGTGTATAACCATGACTGCCCATTTGTTGCCCATGTATTGCCATAATTATCCGATTACTTCCCATGTATTACATTACCATGACGGCCCATTTGTTGCCCATATACTGCCACATTCATCCAACAGCTTCCCATGTATTACCACGACGGCCCGTTTACTGCCCATGTATTGCCATAATTATGCAATAGCTTCCCATGTATTATCATAACCGCTTCCAATATATCAGCATGACTGCCCTTTTTTTTTTGTTTCCCCAGTGTACAAATATAATTTTCCATTAGCTTCTCAGGCATTACTATGACCACCCATTTGTTGCCCATGTATTGATATAATTATCCAGTAGCTCCCCATATTTTACCATGACTGACCATTCTTTTGCCCACATATTGCAATAATTATCCAATAACTTCCCATGTGCTATCATAACTGCCCTTTTGTTGCCCATGTATTGCCATAATTATCCAACGGCTTCCCATGTATTACCTTGACTGCCCATTTATTGCCCATGTATTGCCACAACTACCCCTTAGCCTTTCATGTATTACCACAGCTGTTCATTTGTTGCCCACCTATTGTCCTGATTACACTTTGCATATACACCATGCACAGAGCACACTGAGGTGATATATACACACAGTAATGTTCTGTATGGTGGGGGATGTATACAGCACAATGATGATGATGTACACAATGCACAGAGCACACTGATCAATTACTGCAATTACTTTTGCACGATATTCTAATTATTCGAGTTTCACCTGTATATATACACACACATAAATCTTTTGTATGGTGGGCGATGTATATGGTACAATAATGATGATGTACACCATGCACAGAGCACACTGAGGTGATATATATACACACAGTAATGTTCTGTATGGTGGGCGATGTATATGGCATATTGATGATGATGTACACCATGCACAGAGCACACTGAGGTGATATATATACACACAGTAATGTTCTGTATGGTGGGCGATGTATATGGCATATTGATGATGATGTACACCATGCACAGAGCACACTGAGGTGATATATATACACACAGTAAT